CATTAAAGGGTCAAATCTGAGTGAACATTGAAGCTGTTGTGATGGAAAATTATAATTAGATTCAGAAACTTATCGTACTTTATAGCTCGGGTCAAACATGGTTCAAAGCAAGGCGAATGTTGACACCGGCATTTCATTTCAATATTTTGCGAAAGCATGTGGAAGTATTTAACGAACAAACAAAGGTTTGTTATTTTTTGAAAGAAGTATGAGAGGTGACAAAGTGTAATTGATGTTCTCGAAACGAACTTTGTCAGATGGAAGAAATGGTGCTTTTTTGATAGACGGCATGATCGAAGATGTGGTGGATGACGTTTCATTGCGCACATATTTTGAATTGAACAAAAAAGCTAAAATGTTCAAGTATTAAACACGGGCGAGAATTTGATATCACTAGAAAAATGTCGGTTAAGGAGCGAAATGATTTCTACCAGATTACCATTTCAGAATATGCTAGAAAAATTAGACAAATATTGTGACACGAATGAAACTTTTGATTTGTTACCTTATTTGCGACGCTATGGATTGGATGTCATTGCTGGTTTGTTTTTCCATTAGCATTTTGCTGAAGCATAATTAGCTTTTCATTGGAGATTCGATAAAATAAATTTGCTGACAGTAGTCTAAATAAATTTATAAAATAAATCGACTGAAGGTATTTGAAAATATTAGTGACCAATATGCAACATATTCTGCTTAGTTTCCTCGAAGCTAATAAATGAATTAATTCATATTTCTTTAGCAGATAATAATACTCCTTTTCAATTAGTAGCAAAGACCTTTGAAGTATTTTATCTGTTCAAGAAAAAGCTGTTTTTCAGGATTGAAAATTTCTCTTTACTTCACTCTAAATAATTCAATTTCAGAGACAACTATGGGTGTTAGCATTGATGCACAAAATCGCTGTAACAATGATGCGTACTATGAAGCGATTGAAGTGGTATTTAATTTAATGTGGGCAAGAATCCGATATCCGTGGTACTGGTTCGCAGCTATTCGTTGGCTCACCGGTTTTGATAAGAAATTAGATTATTACTGCAATATCTGCAAGAAATTAACAAGTGAAGTATGTTGTTTTTTAAGTACGAGATAGTTTAACAATTACATTGAATTTT